GTGGGGGGGGGGCGGCTCTCGGTGGGTCCCCCGGGTGTCACCGGTGTCCCCTGGGGGTGTCCCCAGCTCTGTCCCCAGCCCTGACCCCTGGGGGTGTCCCCAGCTCTGTCCTGATCCTGTCCCCGTCCCTGGGGGTGTCCTGTCCCCGTCCCTGGGGGTGTCCTGTCCCCGCCCCGTGTCCCCATCCCACGTGTGTCCCCTTCCCTCCCCCCGTGTCCCTGTCCCCTCCCCCGTGTCCCCATCCCTGGGGGGGCTCCTGTCCCCACCCCCGTGTCCCCTCCCCCGTGTCCCCCCCGTGTCCCCAGGTCCCCTCACCGATGTGATCGAAGTCGATGGGGTCGCAGCCGCCCCCGGGGGGCCACGGGCAGTGGAACACGGCCCCCCCCTGGGTGACATTGGGCTGGCTCGTGTTGGCCTTGGGGGCCCCCACCAGGATGCTGACCCTGGGGGGGGGGGGGGGGGGGGGGTCACCCCACGGGGACACGGCGCTTGTCACCCGCGGGGCTCCGGGGGGGTCCGAGGGGGTCCGGGGGGGTTCCCCGGGCCCCTCTGACTCAGCCCCGTGACCCCTTCCGGCCCGGGGGGGTCGGGGGGGGAGCACCGGGACCGCCCCGGCCGCGGGGAAGGGGAGGGGGGACACGGCCGGGGGGGGGTCCCGGGTGAGGAGGGGGAGTCCCACCGGGTGCTCCCCGGCTCGCCCCGGACCCCCCCGGTGGGGTCACGCGTGGGGGGTTGTGGGGGGGGGGGGGGGCAAGGCCGTGCCTGGGTCCCCCCGAAACCCCCCCGGAGCCCCCCGGGGGCAGCTCCCGGCTCCGGTTACAGGAAACGCTCCGGGCCGGGGGCAGCGGGGCCCCGGGACCCCCGGCGGGGCCGGCGCTGGGGGGGACACGGGGGGGACCGGAGCTCGGCCCCCCCCCGCTCGGGACCCCCGGGCCGGACCCTCCCGGTTCCCGTTACCCGGCCCCGCTTCCTGCTTCCCACTGCCGGTCCCCGCCCCGGTGCCCCGTTCCCGGTTCCCGCTGCCCTGGCCCAGTCCCCGGGACCGCCCCGGGTCCCGCTCCCGGTTCCCACTCCCGGTGCCCGGTTCACGCTCCCCGCTCCCACTCCCGGTTCCCGTTTCCCCACCCCCGCTCCGGTTCCCCGCCGCCCTTCCCATTCCCGGTTCCCGCTGTCCCGTTCCCGTTATCCCGCTCCCGTTCCCGTCCCTCCCCGCCCCGCTCCGGGGCCGCTCCCGCTCCCCGGCGGCCGCTGCCGCTCCCATCCCGCTCCGGTGCCCGGTTCCCGTCCCGCTCCCGGTTCCCGTCCCGCTCCCGGTTCCCGGCACCGCTCTCGCTCCCTCCGTGCCCGTCCCGCTCCCGGTGCCGCTCCCGGGGGCCGCCCCCGCCCCGTCCCGTCCCGGCTCGGTTCCCGTTTGGCGGTGCCGGTTCCCGGCTCGGTTCCCGCTTGGCGGTGCCGGTTCCCGGCCCGGTTCCCGGTACCTGCGGGGCTCGGGCAGGTAAAAGTCCAGCGCGAAGCCGAAGAGGGACCCGGGGGCCCCGCGGAAGACCGAGGGCCGCGACGCCTCCAGGTTGAAGGCGGCGACCGGCGGGAGCAGCAGCGGGAGCAGCAGCGGGAGCAGCACCGGGAGCGGCACCGGGAGCGGCACCGGGAGCGGGATCCGCGGCCGGCAGCGGCGCCGGGGCCGGGGGCGGCGCGGGGGGGCCGGGACCGGGGCCATGGCGGTCGGGGCTGCCCGGGCTCGGCGCTGCTCCCGCTCCCGAGTCCCCTCGGAAAGTGCCCGGGGGGGGGCCCGGGGCCGCCCCGCCCCGCCGTGACTCACCGGGGAGGAGCCAGAGCCCCGCCGGGCACCGGCACCGGCACCGGGCGGCGGGGAGCCCGGGGGAACCGGGGGGAACCGGGGGGGAACCGGGGAGAGCCCGGGGGGAACCGGGGGGGAACCGGGAGGGAACGGGGGAGAGCCCGGGAGGAACGGGACGGCAGGGGCACCGGGACCCCGGGGACACCCCGGGGACATCCCGGGGACATCCCGGGGACACCAGGACATCAGGGATTAACGGGAACGACCCGTCCCGTGGGCCAGCTCGGGGACAAAGGGACATCAGGGACCGGGACACTCCGAGGGGGACACAGCCAGAGGGGACCGGGACAACCTCGGAACACCGGGACACCCCCGGGGGACAGCGGGACATCGGGGACAGGGACACCCCGGGGACATCAGGGACACCTCGGGGACAGCGGGACATCAGGGAATGCGACACCCAAGGGACACCGGGACACTCCAAGGGCACCGCGACACCCTGGGACGGCCCAGGGGACATCAGGGATGGGGACACCTGAAGGACACCCGGGGGACACCGAGGCGTCAGGGACTGGGACACCCCAGAGCCACCGCGAGGGCAACGCGACAGCGGGGAGGGGACACCCGAGAGACACGGGGGACACCTTGGGACAGCGGGACACGAGGGACAGGGACACTGGGAGAGGGACGCTGGGGGTACTGGATCATTTGGGGACACTGGAACAGGGACACTGGGACATTTGAGGACACTGGGGACACTGGGACAGGGACACTGGGGGTACTGGGACATACTGGGGACACTGGGACGGACACTGGAACAGGGACACTGGGACATTTGGGGACACTGGGGACACTGGGACAGGGACACTGGGGGTACTGGGACATACTGGGGACACTGGGACAGGGACACTGGGA